GGGGCAGACTGTTGGAATGAATGGCAGAGAGGAATGTTGCAGGGCTGGAATGTCACCCATAATGAAATGGCAAGGCAACAGAATGCTGTGTGCTGGACGTTAGTGTGTTAGAATGTTAGTATGTTCTGGAATATTGATGTAACTGGGTCCCTAAAACACCTCCTTCCACATGTCCTAGCATTCTCCTTGCTTAGTTTTACCTCCATGTTAGGCCTCTGATTCAGACTCTAACTCCCATCCGCCCTAGCTTAGTGCCCTCCAACGGCTCAGGAAAGACCCACTGGCTGCTAGAGCTTCTCATTTATGGGCACCTGGCTGGCTCATAGGCTTTTGTCAACTTTACGCTGAGATGCATTTTCCTTTCTGCGTTTGTCCACTTTCCTTTGAGATATGTCTCAAATACCTCGCACATTGAAGATGTGTATTGAAGGTCCCTGGACTTATTCACTTCTGTGTCCTCAGTGCCTCAGTCAGGGCGCACCCCGAGGGCATGCCAGTCTGTGATTACTGTAGCCTGGGTAAGCTGCTGGCCAGAAAGCTGTCTGTGGATGGTGCTCTAAGGACTGGAGTTCACTTTCTGGAGACGTTAGATTGAAGGCAACTCAGGATCCTTGTAGTTGGTCAGGAGCAGGGGCAGCCAGGTCAGAGTTAGTTGGGAGAGAGTTGAGGCTTCATTATCAAAGAAACTGGATCCAAAGGCCAAATCCAGGAATTAGGATGGGTCAGAGACTAATGGTCCTCAGCCCGGAGTTTAGAATGGGAAAAGAGGAGGAATTGGGATAAGGGCTGGGCTCCTGGGTGTCCTCTCCTCCTTTTCTCCATCCATCCACTCAATTAGCTAACATTTGCTAGGGCCTGTCTACAGCAGACTTTTCCATACCCTGGAGTTAACAGTCTGTAATGAAGGAGACAGGTGCATAGACAATGACAACCCAGTGTGGTGGCTGATGTGACATATATAGGAAAGCCATAGGGGCTCTGGGAGACCAGAGTAGGTCCCAATCTAATGTAACAATAAAAAAATTTTCCTAGAGGAGTGCTATCTGAGCTGACTCTGAGAGGAGTCAGGAGGGGTAGGAAGGGGCATCTGCATGGTGAGAAGGCTGCTGCAAGGCCAAGGCACATGGAAACTCCCCAGTGTCTGCATGTGGGCCTCAGTGGAAGGCACTAATGATCAGACTGTCCAGTTCTTTGGGCCACATGAGTTTGATCTAATTGCCTTCAGATTCCCTCCTCCCAACTATTCTAATAAGCCACAAATTTAAGTCTGTATCAGTCCGTTCCAACCAGGATGAGTTCATTGGCTTCTAAAGTTTGGAGACAGGGGATCCCTGTGTGGCGCAGCGGTGTGGTGCCTGCCTTTGGCCCAGGGTGCGATCCTGGAGACCCGGGATCTAGTCCCACGTCGGGCTCCCGGTGCATGGAGCCTGCTTCTCCCTCTGCCTATGTCTCTGCCTCTCTCTCTCTCTGTGTGACTATCATAAATAAAAATTTTAAAAAAATAAATAAAGTTTGGAGACATTTTCTGATTATGAGAGAACAGATTTTCTGGAGGCTCAAAGCTCCTACCTCTCAGCCATCCTGCTGCTGTGTCCTTCCTTCTGGGCCCACACCTAAGCCAGGCTCTCGGCCCAACGGCTGAGGGAGCTATTTACCCCCTTCTGTCCCCCGTAACTACTCCAAGTTTCAAATGAGCTCCATGGCGGTGTGGGCAGCCCCCTATGGCCGAGGCAGGGCACGGGGTGCAGCGCGGCTCTGTGTGGAGGCCCCGGCCGGACCGCGTGAGCTCGAGCAGGCTTCGGCTCCCAGGCCTCGGCTTTCCTGGCAAAGGGAGAAAAGACGCGAAGACTCAGAGGCTTGTCTGCCTCGGCGTCCACGCGAGTGCTGAATCCCGGACGCCCTGCTCTCAGCCCGCTCCTTCGAAATAGAGGCCGTGGGCCGGGCACACCTGGGAAACAGGAGGCCCGGCCATGACTTGGGCTCTGACTTGCTTTTGAGCTTGAAAGAGCCCTAACCTCTCTGAGCCCCTGTGTGCTTATTTGGTAACCTGAAGTCACACCTGGCACACAGGTTTTGTGAGGCTGGAGCCAAAGGCATCACGACGATGATGATGCTGAAGCCATCTGCTGCGCAGGAGTCAGTCTCTTGGTATAAATGACAGGTGTAGGTATTGCCAGGAAGTTAGGGGCCAGGCCCAGAGTCCCAGGGGGTGTGAACAAGTCTTTGAAAGCCTTCCCCACGGCTGAGCACACATTCACAACAAGAGCTGTTATGGGGGGAAAGGGAATTGGTATTTGCTGGCTACCTACATGTATTTGTTCCTTCCATTCCTGTGAGGTGTGTGTAGGTGTCCCCACTTACCTGCCAGGTGACCAGCAAGTAAACCCTTCAGAGACACGATCTCTTCATGCGTAAAATACAATATTCCTCAACTCAAGGTTGCTAAAGACTTTAGTGGATATCGACTGTGCATGGCTGCTCAGCACCCAGGTACGTTGCCTACCTGGAGGAATTCCAAGCTGTATGGAAGCTGAAGGAGGCAGCAACTCTCCCCCTGACCCCTGTGGGTCTGGGCAGAGCCACATCGACACCCCCACCTGGACCTTGAGTCCAGCAGGAGTTAGGCAGGTGGGTGAGGACGAGATCGCGTCAGGAGGCTGTGGGACCAGAGCCCAGCAGCATAGTAGTGGGCAGCAGTGGCTGTGCGGTGTCAAGTGGGGCCTGTCCTAACCAGACAGCTCCTGTGGAGGGTGGACGGCTTCGGCTGTGTCCAGCTACCCCTGATTTCTGTCTGGCTCCCTCATCTCCCCAACATTTCAGTGAGCCATCCAGCAGCCTTCCAGTAAAGCTTATTTTTGCTTTGTTTTGCCAGGGATGGGTGGTTTCAATTATTTGCAACTGAGAATCCTGACTGATATAAGGTAAGCCATGTAACATGCCAGACATGGTGCCCGGCATGCTCTAAGCACTCAAAAACCACACACACACACGCACTCACGCACACAACCCCCCCACACACACACACACGCATGCACACGCATGCACAGAAACCAAAGTTCAAGGGCGCCTGGGCGGCTTTGTCAGTTAAGCATCTGCTGTCAGCTCAGGTCATGATCTCAGGGTCCTGGGATCAGGCCAGCCCTGCATCGGGCTCCCTGCTTCTCTCTCTGCCTCTCCCTGCTCCCCTACCCCACAGTCTCTTTTGCTATTTCTCTTTCTCAAATAAATAAAATCTTTAAAAAGAAAGAAACTATGGTTCAGAAAAGTAAAATGACCTGCCTAAGGTCGCACAGCTAGGCAGTGGTGCTGGTATGGGGCTGCCCATGAAGGTTGTAGGGGTTTATGGTATTTAGATATCACTTTACATCACAATGCATCATTTTCAAACAATTTACTGTTGATACATCGGTTCAGAAGCTTCTGAATATGCTGGGAGGCTCACGGGGCCAAAACGTTTTCTTTAAATAGAGAGGAAGGTGTTAGCTCAGTGTAACCCCATTATCTGTAGTGGCCTGGGAGCCAGGTCTCAAGGCCCAGGGCTGGTGTCTGGGTGGTGTCCACACGTAGAGGCTCACATGTGCCCATGCTGCTACAGCTGGTGAAGCAGCCCCATCTAAATACGTGGATTTAGCTGGTGCGTTAGCGACCTGGGGTGAATCAGCAGCTGCCTGTGAGGCCATCAGGGAGGAACACGATGTACCAGAACCTGCAGAAAGGAATGCTCCTGCAGCTACTTACCTACTTACCCTATGCTAATGGGTGAGGGGGAATAGGAGGAGGGTGCTTGGAGTATGGGGTGGGGGGCGACAGGTGGAGTCATCCTAAATTGGGGCCTCCTCTGCTGGGCCTACTAATTGAGGGAGGTTTTGATTCCTGCCGCGTTGCCAAAGTGATTTAATTGGGCCTAATGGGAGACTGTGTGTGATGAATGTGGATAATACAGGTGATGAGGCCCCAAGGAAAGCTGGCTGGAGGAAGGGTGAGGAGCTGAAGACAGGTCTGATGGGAATTAGGCTATGATTCCACGGGTGAGCCCAGACAGCAGGGCCGACTGCTCCCCACCAGAGGCATAGACGGCTGACCTGGGTCTTCATCCTGCCTGGCCTTCAGACCTTGCCCTCACACTTGCATGAAATCAGAGTATGTCAGACTCACTGGATTTTGGGATTAAAATTTATTTATTTATTTATTTATGATAGTCACAGAGAGAGAGAGAGAGAGAGGCAGAGACACAGGCAGAGGGAGAAGCAGGCTCCATGCACCGGGAGCCCGACGTGGGATTCGATCCGGGGTCTCCAGGATCGCGCCCTGGGCCAAAGGCAGGCGCCAAACCGCTGCGCCACCCAGGGATCCCTGGGTTTTGGGATTAGAATCAGGTGTAGGATTCTAGAATCTAGACCTTCAGCCTAACACATGTTAATCATAGATAACTTCAGAATCTAACAATCAGAGGGCCTTGGAAAAAAAAAATGTAGGCGATCCTTCTCCAGCCTTCATTTAATAACAAGAAATAACATCTGTTGAGCTTATCACAACTTCCAAAGCACTTTCACATCTGCATGGCTGTCACACGGAAGGGGTGGTGTTGGACTTTGAGGCTGAGTCCTGTGCGCAAGATCCAGATGAGCAGGTTGCGACCGGAATCCAGCTTTGCAGGATAAATTCTATTTTCCACGTGCCAACACATTTTCCGTGTGCCTTGTGTTTCAGGGTTACAGACACACTTTTAACTACTTGGCATAATGTGTCCAAATTCTCAGATGTTTGTTGTGTGAACTCTGCATGGTCTTACACCGTTTTTCTTAATGCGTTCTGGAGAGTTGCAGCGCTCTGCGGGCCATGACCCTTGCGGCATCCGCACCTCCTCCAGCCCTATTTCAGTTCACGAAGGACTCCAGCAGCTTATCTGAGAACAGATTTGAAGTCACTAACGTAAGGACAGAACCCCGAGTCACTCCGGGTTTAGTCAGAACTTGCTCTGAGTTTCTTGGAACAAAAAGTCAAAATCCCAGAACTGCGGAAAGGAGAGACGGGGCACAGCCCGCCTCCTGGGCCTCGCGGAAGGGGGGGGGGGCTCGGCTGTACCCCGACCTGTGGGGCGGCCTGCGGCAGGTGCCTGCCCTTCTCGGGGCTGGGGGGTGGGGCTCGCAGCTGTACCCCGACCTGTGGGGCGGCCTGCGGCAGGTGCCTGCCCTTCTGGGGGCGGGGGGGGGGGGCAGCGCCGCGTCCTGGGAAGTTGGGCCGCAGCCCGGGGAGAGGGCGGCCGCCGTGGGGGGGGGGGGTAGCAGGCGGGCACGCGGCGTGGAAAGCGCGGGCTGCAGGTTCGCAGGACGCAGGTGCCCGCACGGAAGCTGCCCCGCCGGCAGGGCCTGGCTCCAGATGCCGCCCCGAAGCGCCGAGGCCCAGGCAGGGGCATCCGAGCCGTCCGGACCCACGGCAGCGCCGGGCGCTGTCCCGCCGCGCGGTTTCTCTGCGCCTGGGTCTCCCCGCTTGCACCACGCGGCGGTTGAAAGGCCTGGGTCTCCGGGGGCCCCTGGAGTCCCAGCGGCGCTTCCTGGGCCCCGCGAGCGCACGGGGGCTGGCGAATCCCCGGACGAGCACCGTGGGAGGGGTGGGCTTTGTCTGATGGTCTCTGGGTCCCCCACCGCAAGGAACGGGGAGGCACTGGGAGGACGTTGGTATCCGTGGGCGGGGTTCATGCAGAAGGACACATTCATTCTTTGGTTCCGCAGGTTTGAAGAGTACCTATTATGTGGCAGATACTGTGATAGCTCCGAGAAAGCCTCAGCCATTGAGGACTGCAGTGTTCTAGAAGCCTCGAAGGAGGAGAAAGCCTGGAGCAAGGGAAGGGGGTGCCCAAAAGGGACAGATGTTGGAGAAGACTCCAGTGCCTGGAGCCACCCAAGAAAATCCACTGCTTTCATGTCCTGGGGCTTCCCAGCCAAGCATGACTTTCCTCATCCTGTCTCCAGGAGGAGGATTTCATTCTCAAGATTCCTGCTGGGCAGTGAGGTAGGCAGGGCTAAGACCTTTTCTTGGAAAAAATCAAAAGTTCTTTCGAAGAAGAGGTAACCCCTGCTGCCTTCTCCTAGAAGGTCTCACTTTATTTATTTTTCTTTCCTGGTTGGCTTATTGGAGAGGTGTGTTGAGGCCAAGCCTCTTGCTCACCCCTCACCTGGTGTGACAAAAAAAGAACAGTGAACCAAGAGTCAGAAACCTGGATTCAGATTCCAGCTCAGTGTGTGGCCTTCCACAGGTTATTTTCCTTCCCTGGTCTTAGTTTGCCCAGGGAAATTAGAGAGAGAGACACACACACACACACAGAGAGAGAGAGAGAGAGAGAGAGAGAGAGAGAGATCTTCACAGAAGAGAATGAAATGGAAAAATATGAAATCCTTCCTACCTCCTCACCAAAGTCATATTTATCATTTACTGTGAGCCAGACATTTTACAAACTACCTATAATCTGAGCAACAATCCTGGAGTGTTGGTATTTGTTATCCAAATTTAACACCTAAAGAAACTTGAGACTCTTCTGGAGAAGTGAAGAAATTTGCCTTAGGCCAACCAGCTAGGAAGCCACAGGGTCAGGATCCAGACCCTAGTCTTTCTGATCAAAGTATAACTTGAACAGCAGTTTCCTTGGAATTTTCATTCCTCCACCAAATGACAGTTATTGAGCATATACTGTGAGCTAGGTTGCAGCTGAGGGTAGAATAAGGAATGAGACACTATCATTCAGGATGTCAGAAAGAAATAGATGACATTCTCAAACTGGGTAATTTGAGAAGAGCTTAATAAAGGGATTATTTAATATAGGGACAAGGAGTAAGGAAATCCTCCAGGGCAAGTCATGTTAGAGCACTAATTAGTACCCGTAGGCCTAAAGGGGCAAGGGAAGGAGGACTTACTAGAATCTGGATAAAGAAAGCCATTGTAAAACCTGACGGGAATCATATCCCTTGGTCCAAAGATGTACCTGGTGGTGAACCTTCAGGGAGGAAGCTAGGAGAATATGTACTCTGCTGGGATTCCAGTTGGCCAGACCCTACCAGATTCTAGAAGGCAAGGAAGCCCCTGTGTAACCCTCTCAAGGTACAGAGCAAGGTGAAGAAGGAAAGAGAGTGTATCTGGAGTGGCAAACAAGATATTTAGCACAGTTTCCTTCCTCTAAGGAGGAGCTCATAGACAAATGGAGAAGACACGTACATCTGTTCACAAGTGTAACAAAATATGTGAAAAGAACTCACATAAAAATGAGCGTGTCAGAAAGTGTCAGTAATCTTTTGCTATGTAACAAACTACCCCAAAATATTTGGCTTAAAACAATAACCATTTATTTGCTCATGATTCTGTGGATTGGCACTTTGGGTTTAGCTAGTGATTCTTCTGTTGATCTCACGCAGGGTTACGCATGTAGTTCCACTCCTCTAGTGGTTCAGCTGGGAGCTGGTTGGTCTAGAGGGCCTCCATGGAGAGCTCGTGGTGTTTCTACATAGTCCCGGCTTCCAGGGGGCTAGCCCAGGCTTAGGGCTGTCCTGCATGAGCTCCTTCAGGCCATAGTGACATTGCATTCAAGAAGGTGAGAGAGGAAGCTGCAAAGTCTCCTGAAGTCTAGGCTCAAACGTGGCACAACATCACTTCTGCCACTTGCTATTTTTCAAAGCAAATCACAAAGTTAGGGTAGAAACAAAGGATGGGAAAATACATCCCATCACTTGGCTGAGGGGTGGCAAAGTTACATTGCACCAATGTAACACCACGCGTAAGGTTAGCATAACCATCTTCCAATCAACAAATGAACAAAGCACTCTCTGCACTGTACTGTAACTGTCCCTTTAAATAACTGGTTTTCCCCAACAACCTGAGAGCTCCCAAGGATAGGAATTTTGACTGACTCATTACTTTGTTCCTCATGCTCAGAACAAAGTTTGGCACACAAAGGATATTAAGTGTATGTTTGTTGAATGACTACGGCTGGAGTAGGGCTGGTGAATGAATGATCTATTTGTCCAAAGGCCTCGGAGCCACAAGAAGTATCTCTTTATTTATTTACTTTGTAAAGATTTTATTTATGTATCCATGAGAGACACACAGAGAGGCAGAGACACAGGCAGAGAGAGAAGCAGGCTCCTTGTGGGGAGCCCGATATGGGACCCTGGGATCACGACCTGAGCCAAAGGCAGACGCTCAACCATTGAGCCACCCGGGTGCCCCAGTAATATTCTCTTTAAATATAAAGTTGACATTATAGAACACTTTCTCTACCTCATTGAAACTCTTCAAATATTGCCATGATCCATCAAGGTCAAATTCAACCCCGACTTCTTCCATAAAGGCTTCCGAGGCTATTTCTTTTCTTCTGTTAGGCTCTCTGCAACTCTAATGGCTTAGAGTGCCCACAGCTTGGCACTTGGTTTTGAATTCTCTGACTGCTGCCCTAGGGGGTTTATGGGTCAAACCTACTTTTCATCCCTAGTGGTAAGTCCCCAAGGACAGAGCTGCATCTTCTCCCCTAAAGGGCTTGTCACAGTGCTGGGCCCATAGGATGTCCCCAGTCAACACTCCCTGAGGGGACCATCCACTCCGGGTGGCCTTGACCCTGTGAGGTATGGAGAAGGCATGCAAGGAACCATTCATACCCTTGTCAGTGCTGTGCACATGGGAGCTTCCCAGGTCTCTGGGACAGAGCAAGTCATAGCACCCTTCTAGGTCTGGTCTAGGGCCTGGGCCTTGGTTGTACCAGGCTCTGGCCCCTGAGCTAACCGGGCCCAGGCCAAGAAGAGCAGAGTCTTAAATGACAGTGGAATGGCCTCCTCCTCCTAATAAGAATCCAGGGCCTGAGCTATTTCTTGTGGACAGATGAGCCATCACTGCCCTGCACACTTCTGAGGTTTCAAGAACCCAAGGAGCAGGTGTTGAATAGACCCCCAGAGCAGAGCTCCTGGGGAACGTATTTTACTCGAGTGTCACGAAGAACATGAAAGCAAGCTACTGCATAAGGTTCTGAGTCCCTTCCCATGCTAAACCCTTTCCAGTCACTTCTGTTGCCCTCAGGATAAAGTGTGAGATCCTTAATATGGCAAAGCCTTCAGGACTTGGCTCACATATCCCTCCAGCTTCATCTTTACCACCCCACCGTGACTCTAGTGTCCATCCACTCAAACTGAACTGCTTATTGTCCCTTGAATCACCATCTGCTCTCTCTGGGCTCAGGCCTTCATGTATGCTAGTCCCTGTGCCTTAACTGCTGTTCTGCATCTTCCATCACGAACCCCTTTTCACCTGTCAGTGGGTTCCTCAAGACTGAGAAGCTTCCCGGAAGGCGTCTTCTGTAGATGCCAGATGTGGATCCTGGCAGAGAATCACTGGCAGTCAATGTTGAAGGAATAAATAAATGAGAATGTTGGAGAGGCTGGAAAACCGACTGGCAGGAGTGTGACAAGGGCGAGTGCAAGGTTCTAGTATTTTCAAGATCTAAGATTCAGCAGTTCCCCAATTCTTGGCTGAAGATTCAGACTTGGACGTCCCTCCATCTGGGCACCCCCCCCTCCGCAAGTCCCCCCCACCCTGTGCCTTCTGAGTGTTTGCTCTCAGCCAGGCAGGTGCACATGTTGTGAACATAACGGGAAAGCAATTTCCGAGAGATAATTGCTGGTGGATGTGCGCTTGAGGGCAGGGTGAGCACAGGCTGTTTCTGCGTCAGCCCCCCCCTCCCCACCGCCCCGGGAGGCGGCTCCCACTGCTCCCACTGCACCGGGTGAGCAGTTGTCTTCTGAGCCCAGACTCAGACAAGCCAACCCCAGGGGAGAGAGCCAGCTCCCAGGGTTGATTGAATTCAAATGGGAGAACCTGAAACTTGAGGGGATGGGAAGAGCTTTTGGGGGCCTGAGGTGACAGGTCAGCGATCCTTTTCCACCTATCCCTGCCCCATTCACCCGGGGCTCCTGCTGGCAAGTTCTACTCCGCCTTCAGGGAAGCTGCTCAGTGTGAGGTGCCTCTTCATCTCTCCAGCCCAGTCCTCTTTGTTCTTCCTGGCCAATCATGCTCAAAAAGGTGAGCCCAGACCAGCAGCAGCAGCATCACCTGGATGCAGGTTAAAATTGTGGGGACTTACTCCAGACCCACAGATTCAGACACTCCGAGGTAGCAAGAGGTGGGAAAGAGATGGGCCCAGAATCTGCATTTTAACAAGCCCTCCATCTGATTCTGATGTTTAGTCTGAAGTTTGAGAACACTGCTTTAGGCCACTGATGACCAATCGAGCGTTTTTGTTTAAGATTTTATTTATTCACAACAGACACACACACACACAGAGGCAGAGACACAGGCAGAGGGAGAAGCAGGCTCCATGCGGGGAGCCCGACGCAGGACTTGATCCCGGGACCCCAGGATCACGCCCCAAGCCGAAGGCAGATGCCCAAACGCTGAGCCACCCAGGCGTCCCGAGTTTTTAGAATTTATAGATTATGTCTCCCATCAGACATGAGCAGCCTAAAGCACAGGCAGTACTGGATTCTTCCCTGAGACCTCCTAGAAGGCTCAGCACAGAAAGTTCAGAGGAAAATTGAAATGTACTGATGGGGATACTAAGAAGAGAGACAGGATCTGTCCCGGGAAAGGTCATGCAGAACATCAATGACTCCACGTCCTGTCACCCAGTTCTGCCCCACACGTACACACGGAGCCCACACTCTCTCCAGCAGACAACTTGCAGTCCCTGAACTGTGCTAGGCTCTCTCTGTTTTGGAACAGGTTGTACTCTGAACATAATGTCTTCTGACCTTGTCTCACCTGGAAACTTTGACTCATGTTTGATGATTCAGCTCAGACATCACTTTTCCCTTGTTCAAAGTGCACGAGGGGCCACCATGGGGCCTACTGCCCTTGCGTGTACTCTCCTTGCCCTCCATGCGATCTCCTTGGGGGCAGCAGCTGTGGCCAATTCCGCCTTGTTTCTGGGAACCCGTGAGAGTCCTGGCACAGAATAGATACCACTGGATGCAGTAAGTAGACAAAGGTGCTGGGTTCAGAGTGCTGAAAATAAAAGACACACACACACAAGACACATATGCACATGTGCATACACAAACATGTATACATATGCACACACATGTGCACACACACACAGAGGACAACAAATGAGGACCAGAACCAAGGTCTCTCGACTTCCAGCCTAGGCCACTTCTAGGCCACTCCTGCCTTGCCATGCCACCATGTGCCCTTGGCTGGCTCAAGCACATTGCACAAATATCTAAGAGTGGCCATTTCACTGTTGCCAAATCCAGCAGCAGGTCGTATCATGGTCAGAAATGCTGAGAGCTGCTTTTGATGGCCACAGAGTCTCCTCAATCCTTGCCTTGTACTCCCAAGGCAAAGCCTAAAGCCATTGCCAAAGTTAAGATGAGAGAAGAGCCAGGAGTCAGCTATCCTGCCCTAAGATTCCTTAACAATAAAGATGATGATGATGATGATGATGGCTAGTACATAGTGCTTTCCACATGCCAACACTGTTCTAGGTTCTTGGCTGGACTAAGTAATTTAATCCCCCCCAAACTCTACAAGGAAGGTGCTACTAATATACCTGCTTGCATAGATGAGAGAACCGAAGCACAGATATCACTTAGTCAGGATTGGAACCAGGCATTTGGTTCCAGAGTCCCTGCCCCTCCTCACTATGTTATACTGAAAAACATCCAGCTGTAGTTTTTTTTTTTAATTTTTTTAAAATTTTTTATTTATTTATGATAGTCACACAGAATGAGAGAGAGAGAGGCAGAGACATAGGCAGAGGGAGAAGCAGGCTCCATGCACCAGGAGCCTGGTGTGGGAATCGATCCTGGGTCTCCAGGATCGCGCCCTGGGCCAAAGGCAGGCACTAAACTGCTGCGCCACCCAGGGATCCCTTTTTTTTTTTTTTTTTTTTTAAGATTTTACTAATCTATTCATGAGAGAAACAGAGAGGCAGAGACACAGGCAGAGGGAGAAGCAGGCTCCATGCAGGGAGCCCGACGTGGGACTCGATCCCGGGTCTGCAGGATCACTCCCTGGGCTGAAGGCGGCGCTGAGCCACTGAGCCGCTGAGCCACCCAGGCTGCCCTGTCTGGAGTTTTAAAAAAGTCTTTCTAGCACTTTCATGCTTATGAAGGGAGACCATCTCCATCATCTCACTGAACACTCACCGTTGCCCAGCAGGGAACTGGGGCTCAGGGAGACTAAGGGACTTTATCACGGCCACACAGCGGGGTCAGGAAGTGGCTGAGTCCACACTGGGCAGCCTGTGTTCGGGCTGTTAACCATACAGTCCCTCACCCCCTTGTTTATTCACTCCTTCCTCCACCTCAGCAATGGAGTGATCCTAAGCACGGCTGGGCCCTGTGTACTCTACAGCCCCTCTCCTTCTGTGCCTTTGGCAGAGCTATAGGAGAAGCAGGAGTCACCTGCCTTTGGGTCCCAGCCAGCTTCCTGGGGGATGTAAAGTACACCTGCTCTGTGATGGGAAGACCATGTCAGAGTTCTCGAGCTCTCTAAGGTAGGTGATGGGCTCCTCTGAGCCTCCAGAGGCCCCGGACTCCCCCACTGGATTGCATGGAGTTGTCACCAACCATTTCCCTGGGACTCCTGTCTCAACTCTCTTTGGTTCACAGTAGACCGGGCAGAGCAATCTCCCTGGGTCCCAAAGCAGGGCAAAGGGGGGCCTGCTGAGAAACGCCCTCATATCCCACCAGTCTCCAAAGTTCCTCTGATCACCCCTTCCCCTACCTTTTATGGAAAAGAGGCTCCAGAAAAAGAGGGTGTAGAGACATTTATTGGATGTTTATGGGGCTGGTCTACATGGGTCTAGGTTTGGGACAGGGGCCTCCTCAGGGCTTCCTGGGATGTCACTGGCAGTCACTCTGGCCATGAAGCAGTGCTGGAGCAGGCGTCTGGGGTGCACAGGCTGCTCCTTGGTGCCATCCAGCCGTGGAATCAGGAAGGAGTGATTCTGCTCAAGAGTGCTTGCTCCTGGCACCTCCATCCAATTGCCGGCATTGCCACCTTGGCAGCCTGGAGGCCCCTCCTCCCTGGAGTCTGGAAAACAGCAAGCTGAAGGCAATCTCTTCCTCCCCTACAGTCCCACACACCCTGGCTAGCTTTTCTGCGTGCTTACCTTGGGCAGAACTGCGCTCAGAGCCTTAAACGCTTCATTTGCTTAACAAGTATGTATATATGTATGTATGTATGTATGTATGTATGTATGTATTATTTTTTTTAACAAGTATTTATTAACAACATACTACATCATTCACCAGGAGCTGTCAGTGTTTCTAATGAACTTAAAGTCAAGTGGGGGAGACAGACAATAAGCAATTGTTAGGGAAAAAATGAAGACTTGACCTTGACCATAAACCCATGAGGTAAGTACTATTAAAAACTCATTTTATAGGGATCCTTGGGTGGCGCAGCAGTTCAGCGCCTGCCTTTGGCCCAGGGCGCGGTCCTGGAGACCCAGGATCGAGTCCCATGTCGGGCTCCCGGTGCATGGAGCCTGCTTCTCCCTCTGCCTGTGTCTCTGCCTCTCTCTCTCTCTCTCTCTCTCTCTGTGCCACTATCATAAAAAAAACAAACTCATTTTATAGATGGGGATACAGGCTGACTACACAGCTAGCATGCAGAGAAGTGTTGGAAAAATTTTAATTTTTTTTTAATTTTTATTTATTTATGATAGTCAGAGAGAGAGAGAGAGAGGCAGAGACTTAGGCAGAGGGAGAAGCAGGCTCCATGCACCGGGAGCCCGACGTGGGACTCGATCCCGGGTCTCCAGGATCGCGCCCTGGGCCAAAGGCAGGCGCTAAACCGCTGCGCCACCCAGGGATCCCGGAAAAATTTTAAAACATACATTATTCTCTTCTTTAAGAATAGATCCCATGACGCTCTTCAGCTATTGCTTTAGCCTCTCTTCCTCTTGTATATGAGCTTGAAAGGAGGCTCATTTGGCCTTAGCATTCCCCATTTCCTGTTCATGACTTATTCTGCCTCAATTTACTCTGTTTCTGCTCCCAACATACCTCAAAATGTTTTGTCACTAAATCCTACAGTCACTCACAAATCCTTACCTCCCTTGACTTATCAGGAGCATTTGAAACAATTGAGTATTCCTGCCTTTTTGGATAAAATATGTTATCAAGCTTTCGGGGGCACTTGGCTGGCTCAGTTGGTGGAGCATGAGACTCTTGATCTTAGCGTTGTGGATTCAAGCCCCATGTTGGATGTAGAGGTTATTTTATTTTTTAAATATTCTATTTATTTATTCATGAGAGACACACAGAGAGAGGCAGAGACACAGGCAGAGGGAAAAGCAGGTTCCATGCAGGGAGCCCGATGTGGGACTCTATCCCGGGACTCAATCCCAGGACTCCAGGATCATGCCCTTGACCAAAGGCAGATGCTCCACTGCCGAGCCACCCAGGCATCCCAGGTGTAGAGATTACTTTAAAATAAAATCTTTAAAGAAAAAAAAATAGCATATCAAGTGCTCAAGCTAGAAATGTGAGTCACCAAGTCCCACTGATTCCATCAATCACTGTCTTCCATATTCACTCATTTCTCTACATCTTCAAGGCCTCCACCCTCAGTCAGGTTTTCATCTTCTTCCTCCCAGACCACTGGAATAGCCTCTAGTTGGGTCTCCTTCAGTCTACTCTCCAGTTTGTAGCCAGGGAGAGCTTTCTAAAGTCAGGTGAGTCCCATGTACTGTTCTTTCTCCAGAGCCTTCAGTGTCTTCCCATTACCTGTCATCCTTGAGGTGGCATTCGAGGCTCTTCACATACTGGCCCTAACCCTTCTCTTTAGCTTCATTACTATCACTCTTCCCTTAAGAAATTTACGTCTGTGACACCAAGGCTTTCACTGTGCCCTAAATAGCTCTATTCCTCTACATCTCTGATTCTTCGCTTTTCCTATTTCTTCTGCCTGGAATGACATTTTATACCTTCTCTGTCTAGAAAACTCCTTTGTTTTAACAACCATTAATGAGGGGTACCCAGGAAGAATGATGCCTCTGAATCCAAGGGAAGTGTGAATTTCAAGGAGGAAGTTGTATTTGACATTGGCACTGGCTACCTAAAATCCATTCCACCTCTTCCCATCCAGTGACAGCAATTATATTTGGGTGGTATTGGCCCCATCCCAGCTCTAGGAATGGGGCCTGGGTGATCTGATCCAATCAGATAATACCATTCCGTTGCCACATGGATTGGCAATAGGTCCATAAGCATTTCCCTGGGGACAGTGAATGGTTTAGGGGTGGACACGTGACCTGAATGGTCCAATCAGAGTAGAGCTCAGCACCAGCATCCCACCTTTGAAGGAAGAAATAGTTCCTTCTTTCTTCTCCTGGCTAGAAGGAAACAAAAAGCCAGCGGTCCCAGGGACTGCTGGTAGCCAGCTTTCTACCATTTAAAAAAAAAAAAAAATCTGCCTGTGGAGTAAGCCAACTCAAAAAAGTAGAGCTGATGTAAAAAAAAAAAAAAAAAAAAGTAGAGCTGAGAGACTCTTAGAGGATGGAGCCACAAGCCTGACAACATAGTGAACTTCTATTCAAACCATGCAGAAAGCCCACCTTACTTTTAGACTTCTCACCTACAGAGCCAATAAGTTAGCTTTTTTTTTTAAATTTTTATTTATTTATGATAGTCACACACACAGAGAGAGAGAGGCAGAGACACAGGCAGAGGGAGAAGTAGGCTCCATGCACCGGGAGCCCGACGTGGGATTTGATCCGGGGTCTCCAGGATCGCGCCCTGGGCCAAAGGCAGGCGCAAACCCCTCCAGGATCGCGCCCTGGGCCAAAGGCAGGCGCCAAACCGCTGCGCCACCCAGGGATCCCAATATACAAGCTTTTAATATTGTTTTTTTTCCGCTCTACATAATACCCTTGAAATCCACTTAAGTTGTTATGTGTACCAATAGTGCATTCCTATTGATACATATATTCCATTGTACGGTTGTACCATCTGTTCATTGAAGGACTTTGGGGTTGTTTCCAGTTTTTGTTGGTTACAAATAAAGCTGCTATGAACATTCACGTATAGGTTTATGCAGCCATACATTTTCATTTCTCTATGATAAAAACCTAGGAATATAATTGCTAATTTGTATGGTACAGTGGGCTGAATGGTAGCCCCAGATATCAGGTCTTAATCTCTGGAACCTGTGAGTGTCACCTTGTATGGTAAAATTTTGCAGATGTGATTAAATTAAGGGTTTTGAGGTTAGGACTTTATCCTGAATTATCTAGGTGGGCCCTAAATGCCATCACAACTTCCTTTATAAGAGAAAGGCAGACACACAGAGTGATGTGAAGACACATGTAGAGATTGGAGTGATATCGCTACAAGCAAAGGAATGCTGGTAGTCACCAAAAACTGGACAAAGCAAGGAACAGATTCTCCCCTGGAACCTTTGATTTCTTTTTTTTTTAATTTATTTATGATAGTCACACACACAGAGAGAGAGAGAGAGAGAGAGGCAGAGACACAGGCAGAGGGAGAAGCAGGCTCCATGCACCGGGAGCCCGATGTGGGATTCGATCCCGGGTCTCCAGGATCGCGCCCTGGGCCAAAGGCAGGCGCCAAACCGCTGCGCCACCCAGGGATCCCGAACCTTTGATTTCAACCCAGTGAAACTGATTTTGGTTTCTGACCCCCAGAAATGTGAGATAATACATTTCTGTTATGTTAAGCCCACCAGGTTTGTGGAAATTTGTTACGGCAGCCATGGGAAACCACACATATAGTAAGTGTGTGTTTAACTTTATGAAAACACTAAGCTGATGGATGATGGCAATGGCTGATTAGTGATCTCCCAACACCGTTTAGAGGGAGAACTGAACTCTTGTCTATCATTTTCCCCATTTCTGGGGGGTCTCTTATTAAATCTGCTGAGGTTGGAATATCACCTCGACACATACTTCATTCACTTCATCTGCAAAATAGGGTTGAGAACTTGACAGAGTAGTTGAGCAGATTAAATGGGATAAGGTGTTTAAAGCATAGCACCAACACAACAGCACCTAGCACAACAGGAACTCAGGCACCCTTCTGATCAAGCTAGTTCCTCACAAAGTACCAGAGTAAGAAAGTTATGGTCTTTGCTACATCCTGAGTTTGGGGGATAGGGTTGTGGTGAGAGTGATGGGATAGTACAGAATGCCTGGGCAGCAGAAGGAACATATGTTCAGAAACTCTGGTCCATTTCCACTCTGCTCTTGTTGAGGTACTTCCCACACTGCCCTTGTCCCCATAGTCAGATACCACGGCCCCAAGACACAGTGCAATGATCATAGGCTATAGAATCTGGGAGATTGGGATTACTCTGAACAACACAAGCTCACTGGCTTGGCTAATTCACTTTCCTTGGCTAACCCTTGGTTTCCTCTACTGTAAAATGGGGTTAATGATCTCTCCCCATGTCCTACTAGAGAGGGAGACAGAAATGAAATGTCTTTGTAAAGGTAAAGCTCTTGATGAATCTTGATGAATGTAAGACAGTGGGCCTGTAAACCGTCTCAGATGCAGGAGGAACAAGAGGCTTCTGAGGAGATGCTTTGAGTTCAGAGGAAGGAGAGCACAGTGCTTAATGAAGAAGGGGAGGAAGTAAGAGCTGAGTTTAGGCAAAAGGCAGAGAGAGCTGAAAGCTATCATTTAGTAAAAGGTCAGGAAATGTATTTTCCATCTTAAAAATAAGAAGCAGGGATCCCTGGGTGGCGCCTGCCTTTGGCGCCTGCCTTTGGCCTCAGGCTCATCAAGGAGTCTGATAGAAAGTTCTCCCACCGGACGCCTGGGTGACTCAGTGATTGAGCATCTGCCTTCAGCTCAGAGCAAGATCCCAGGTTCAGGATTGTGTCTCACAACAGGCTCCCCTCAGGGAGCCTGCTTCTCCCTCTGCCTGTGTCTCTGCCTCTCTCTCTCTGTCTCATGAATAAATAAGTAAAATCTTTAAAAAAAAAAAAAAAAAAAGAAAGAAAAGAATGTTCTTCCTCTCCCTGTGCCCCTCCCCCACACTGGTGTGTGCACGGTCTCTCTCTCTCCCCACCCCATAAATAAATACATCTTTAAAAATATTAGAAACTTACATCATTCTTAAAGTGCATTCTTCTCCCTCCCTCCCTCTTTCTTTCTTTTCCTTCCTTCCTTCCTTGGGGCAGTGACCCAGGGAGAAGGAGAGAGAGAATCTTAAGCAGGCTCTACACCCAACTCTGAGCTCAATCTCATGACCTGAGCCAAAATCAAGAGTTGACACTTAACTGACTGAGGCACCCGGGTGCCCCACGCTTTTCTGATTACTAGTAGGGCTGAGCAGCATCTTTTCATGTGTATTGAGCATCTGTATTTCTTTTTTTGTAAATGACATTTTTCTGGTTTCTTTAAAGATGTGCCTATATATTTTGGATATCAACCTTACCTCTCTATAGAGTTGATTTCATTATTCACAGTAGTTATATTCTATAAAGTCACCACAAACACTGAATTAACAAATACTGAATAATTGCTCCTAGGGAAAATACAAGGCTCAGTTCCTGTGAGCCTCTGGTCACAACAGTTTTTTTTTTTTTTAAAGATTTTATTTATTTATTCATGAAAGATGCACAGAGAGAGAGAGAGAGAGAGAGAGAGAGAGAGAGAGAGGCAGAGACACAGGCAGAGGGAGAAGCAGGCTCCATTCAGGGAGCCCAATGTGGGACTCGATCCCGGGACTCCAGGATCATGCCCCGGGCCGAAGGCAGGCGCTTAACCGCCGAGCCACCCAGGGATTCCCTGGTCACAACAGTTTTGTCAAGCAAATAATATAGAAATTTGCTTTTTGTGTGTTTCAGTTAAAGACACATTATTTAACATATATTATTGGCGGGACGCCTGGGTGGCTCAGTGATTGAGCATCTGCCTTTGGCTCAGGTCCTGATCCCAGAGTTGGGATCAGGCTCCCTGCAGGGAGCCTGCTTCTCCCCTCTGCTTGTGTCTCTGCCTCTCTCTGTGTCTCTCATGAATAAATAAATAAATCCTAAATATATATATATATATATATATATATATATATATATATATAATTGTCTCATTAACAGTGAAACTCATGACCAACAGTACTACTCTAACTTGTGCCTGAACAAAGTTCATCTAACACATGTATTGTCTCCACAGGGCACATCACAGCCTTCCTAGGCTTAGGAACAGTAGAGAATACTAAAGCACTACATTTAGAGGCCACTTTAAACAGTGAAGTTAATAAAAATCACAGAAATGCAAAAAACATGGCTCTAAATAGACACTTATTTACAGTATGAGAGTTGAAAATAAGAAGGTCAAGTGTAGACCTGTTTAACCTCAGGTGGGAATGTGTGTGAGGGGGCAACTCAAAGTGTGTGCTGTTCTGCGCACGTCCACATCCACAGATGACCTCAAAAACACTGCTAGTATTGATTCTGAGGTTACAGATCAATTTTAGCAAGTAGACAAATTCACAAATACCAACTCTGTGATTGATGAGGATGTCTGTGTATATTTATCTTTATGTTATCTTTGTAGTCCACCACTATTATGTATGATGTCTTTTGTCTTTTTTTTTTTTTTTTGAGAGGGAGAGAGAATGAGTGGGGGTGGGGGTGGCCAGAGGGACAGAGAGAATCTGAAGCAGGCTCCCTGCTGAGAGCCAAGGCCCACTCAAGCTCCATCTCACAACCCTGAGATCATGACCTGAACTGAAATCAAGAGTTGGACACTTAACCAACTGAGCCATCCAGGCGCCCCATCTGATTTTTATTTCATGTCTATTTGGACTTGATGAAGGCGGATTTGTCAATTTCCCCCCTTTATTTAAAAAAAGAAATGTTTTACTCAAATTTCTATATTTTAATTAATCTGTTTCTAGACTCTATTTTATTCTAGTGTTTTTCAACATTGGCACTATTTATGCTCTGGGTTGGAAAATTCTTTGTTGTAGAGTGCTGTCCTCTGTTTTCTAAGATGTTTAACAGCATCCCTGGCCTCCACCAAGGGACACCCTGCTCTTTGTAACAACCAAAAATGTCTCCAGACATCACCAAATGTCCATGGGGGGCAAATGTGTACCCTGTTGAGGACTACTGCATTGCCCAATTCTGTCAGTTGCTGTGCCAATAGCAAGCAATTATTATATCTTTTTAAAATGTCTGTTATCTAATAGGGCAAGTCCCTCCTTTCTTTTTTAAATTTTTTTTTAATTTATTTATTTATGATAGTCACACACACACACACAGAGAGAGAGAGAGAGAGAGAGAGAGGCAGAGACACAGGCAGAGGGAGAAGCAGGCTCCATGCACCGGGAGCCCGATATGGGATTCGATCCCGGGTCTCCAGGATCGTGCCCTGAGCCAAAGGCAGGCGCCAAACCACTGCGCCACCCAGGGATCCCCCTCCTTTCTTTTTTAAAAATATTTATTTATTTATTTATTTATTTATTTATTTATTTGAGAGAGAGAGAGACAGCACAGAGGGAGAGGGAAAGGGAGAAGCAGGCTTCCCACTGAGCGGAGAGTCTGATGTGGGGCTCGATCCCAGAACCCTGGAATCATGACCTGAGCCGAAGGCAGACACTTAACTGAGTCACCTAGGCCCCCTCTCTTCTTTCTTCTCCAAAATTATTTTGTGCTTTTACTCTTCTAGATTAATTTTTTTGAAGATTTTATTTATTCATTTGACAGAGAGAGAGAAAGCAGAAGCAGGGGAGCAGCAGGTAGAGGGAGAGGGAGAAGCAGGCTCCTGCTGAGCAGGGAGTCCCATGTGGGGCTCGATCCCAGGACCTCTGGGATCATGACTTAAGCCAAAGGCACATGCTTAACAGACTGAGCCACCCAGTCGCCCCTCTTCTAGATTAATTTTAGAACTAATTTGACAAATCCCATGAAATATTTTGTTGGGAATTTTTTTTAAAGATTTTATTTATTTATTCATGAGAGAGACACAGGCAGAGGGAGAAGCAGGCTCCATTCGGGGAGCCCAACATGGGACTCGATCCCAGGTCTCCGGGGTCACACCCTGGGCCGAAGTCGGTGCTAAACCGCTGTGCCACCCGGGCCGCCCTTTTGTTGGGAATTTTATGTACAGATTAATTTGGGAAGAACTGATACGCCTATGATAGAGTCTTCTATCCACGTACATGCTGTCTCTCACGAGACAGTCAGGTCCTTTTATACCTTCCACTAACTTCTATGATTTCTCTCTATCAAAGTTGAAGCCTGGGCTGTCTGGTCTCCCTTGGGTGGTCTGGATCTGTGCTCAGGCTTTCTTCCCGTTCCCCTGCCACTGCCTCCCAGGTTCCTGACTACGAGGGGAACCAGAAGAACCCTTCTGCCCTCAGAAGCCATCCCCCCTACTTTTCAATGCTCAGAAACAGCAGGATTATTTATTGTCACCAGGATCTGGGAAGGGTTCTTGTACTGTTATTTGTTGCACAAGTTGATGTCAAGTTGAAAAACTAATCTTTTACAACTAAAAAGCCCTCTCTTTCTCTGAAATTCAGCTACTTACTACACATTTTTCTCCTACCCTGATAGTTGCCACCCTTCCGTCTTCTGCTTAAATTCCTGCCTGCCCTTATTTACATGGTGCTCCAGGGTGAACGACCCAGTCATTGCATAGGTCTTACTCAGAACTACCCACACACTTTTACCCATTATTTACCCTACCCTGGAATACTTTTTCTCTTTTTAACCCAACCAAGTCCTTCGCTAATTCAGTGCTCATTCAAATCTACACACCTTTTTGAAATTCTCCTTACATTTGGTATTAAACAATTTTGTACTTAATTATATATCCGCACAGACCCCGTGTGGTGGACAGAAGAGCACAATTTAAGGTAGAGAAACATGGGCTGAATTTTAGCCTTACCAGTTATTAGCTGCAACACTTTGCATAAGTCATCTAATCTGTTTTAGCCTTGATTTTCTCGTCTGTAAAACGGAGATAATAATACTCATTTTGAGTGTTGTCTACCAAACTATACAGAAAGACCACTTGCCAATAGGCACTTGTATCTTTCACAGTACCTTGCAGAAGTTGTAAAAAGGCGTGCAATAAAGACTTATGAAAAATCAACACTTTTGTTGGGCGGGGCAGGGGTGGGGGGCTTTGAGGCTCTAGATGGCCTAAGCTAATAATGAAGGAAGGGGTAGTACAATTCAGATTATCAAAAAATAACTGTTTAATTTCTGAAGAAACTGAGTTTGGGGAGCAGCAAATTTTTCTTGTTGATTCTATTTTGTTTGGTTTATCTATTTTTTAAATTTTGTTTGGTTTAATATTAAAATCAGTTTTCATTCCTTCAAGCTAGAGTTTTAAAACACCATCTTAGAAAGTCCACAAGATGGATTAATGTTTGTGTGACAAATAGAATGCTGACTATATCAAATGATTTTGATAAACACTGGGCACATGAAGACTTCAGGATGAAAATGTTCAGATTGTGAACTTTCTAAAAAAATGTGCTGCTGCTTCAGAATATTCTAGGAACTCTCATGAGGCAAATGTTCCAAATGTCATCTAAATATCTCCCCTATGGGCAGCCCCGGTGGTTCAGCGGCTTAGCGCCGCCTTCAGCCCACGGCATGATGCTGGAGACCCGGGATCGAGTCCCACGTCGGGCTCCCTGCATGGAGCCTGCTTCTCCCTCTGCCTGTGTCTCTGCCTCTCTCTCTCTCTCTGTGTCTCTCATGAATGAATAAATAAAATCTTTTAAAAATATATATCTCCCCTCTGTAAAGGTGCTAGTCTGTTGGGTTTTTTTTTTTTAAGGATTTTAATTATTTATTTATTTATTTATTTATTTGACAAAAAGAGACAGAACACAAGTAGGCAGAGCAGCAGGCAGAGGATGCAAGAGAAGCAGGCTCTCTGCTGAGCAGAAAGCCCGATGTGGGGCTCAATCCCAGGGTCCTGAGCCAAAGGCAGATGCCCAACCAGCTGAGCCACCCAGGTGCCCCGGTGCTAGCCTGTTTAATAAAGGAATTGTGAGGTCTGTTTCTTACCTGCAGGCTGTAAGCTTAAGCCCCGGTCCAACTTCGTGTGGGGCTTTGAGCTGATGAACAGGTAGCACAGCACACAGGCGGTGACAATGAAGGCCAGGAGAACCACTGCTGCTATGGACAGGCCCACAAGGGTGCCAATGCTGCGGAGAGAAGACCACAGGGAGCGGAGTGTCGGGAAGGGACTTAGGAGGCAGCCCGTGAGATGTGAAGTGTTGTAGGTGTTATTGGGATCAGCTGGCTTCAACTTTTGTTGTCTCTACTTGCCTTAGGCTATTTGTGCGGAGCATGAGAAAGGGCATTAGCTAACTGCCAAGTACTCACTGCACACGTGACACAACATGCTTCAATGCCACCATGTAGTTGGCACTCGGTATGTGTTCCCTTTCTTCTCCTACCCTCCCTACAATCTTTGACCTGCTTCCACCCCAGGGAGCTGGACATGGTCTTAAAGAGCCCTCCTCACAATGCTGTTTCTTAAAAACCAAGACACACAGTATTAGGCCTTGACTAGAAAACAGCTGTCCATGCAGCCTCAAGGTAGTTTCTGATCCAGCTTCCGGTGGGTCATCACACTAGTGTGGACTCCATGGTTAGAGGACCTCCTCACTGCTGTTGCCTCAACCCTCCAACCTCGTCACCTCTGCCCCAAGTCAGGCCCTGGCCACCTGGTCTCCAGATGACTATCTCCTGGCTCATTTGGGAGCCACTGTCTTTCCTGTTTCACATGATTCCTTCCCATCATCTCCCCACGTTAGAGTTTTACTGTCCTTAAAGGTGCATCTCAAATGTCCCCTCCTCAGTAATGCTTTCCTTGGCCATCTTTCTCTCCCCACCCCCACACATGCCAGACTAATCCATCCAGGACACTTCACTCAGGGCCTCTGGCGCTTCTCACTGGGTCAGGCAGCCCAGTGTGGTAGGAAAGAACAAAGGGCTTTGGAACCAAACCTACCTGGGTTAGGACCCAGGTATGTAACAATTCACTCTGAGATCTTGATGAAGTTATTAGACCTTTTGAGCCTCAGTTTCTTTGTCTGAAAAGTGAAAAATGATCAAAACACAATACTTCACAGGTGGTAGTGAGGATGATTAATACATGTAATATTCTTGACACACAGTAGGTGTTCAACACAATCCTTAGGTGTTCCTTGAAGGCAGACTCAGGCCGTGTATGATCAGCTTTGTCCTCTCCTTACAGAAGCCCTGGCACAGAGTAAGCACGTAGAAATTTTGCTGAGTACCTACTATGCGTCAGACACTGTGAGATGTTCTCCCAACAGTAGTGGAGAGGCAGGCAGCAGGCTTCGTGTGCCCCTCCTGCCCAGGACTCCTTCACCGGCTTTTCTGCCCACTCCTCCCCCTGACCCCAGCCCCAGACTCCTGCCCTTGGCACTTCTGCTAGATTCCGCTCCCAGCTAGCTGATGCCTATGTACCACTAAGCAGAAACACCTCAGAGCTTTGGAGAATCTGTCTTCTCAAGGCTAAATAGATTACTGAACACCCCTACAATGGAATAGTATAGAGCCATTCAAAACGTGTTTTCAAATAATATTTAAGATCAAGGATAAGTTCTGATGAGACAATGTTAAGTGAAAAGAGTAGGACACAGTACTAAATATACAGCACAATCCCAAAGTAGATAAACATAAATATATACATGATTATACATGTGTAAGCTGGGATAGAAGCACACCACAACGCTAACAGGCTGTCTGGTTGTAGCGCAGGCTGTGGACGTCCTGTCCGTGGCCTGTCGGGTCCTGTCACTGTACAACGTTCTGGCCAGTTTCAAATGCCAGCATCTGCATCCCTTTGCCTGAGGGCTCCCATCGGCCCAGCACAGTCTCCATTTGTACATCGAGCAGGTCAGAAGCGCAGGAAAATTAACGCCCCGCTTCTCCCATCAACATGCAACTAATGACCGACAGAAATTGGCATGTGAATAGCCGGTTTTCTGGCCCTCATGTGGGATGACTCAGGTGTAATTTTTATAGTGGCGGGTAGGTTTCAGCAGGTTTAAGCTCCAGGGACCCTCAGCACTGACACTATCCTTTGTGCTTGCCCTTCCCTGCCTCACTTTGCCGCCCTCTACCAGTGTTTTGTAGGATGGCTTTCCATAAAAACTACTGGCTCTCAAACCCTTGTTTCTGAGTCTTTGGGGGAATCCAAGCTAAGACACTGGATCTCCTGTGATACCCCTGTCCTTTCCACATTTTCCATATTGACCATGCCGTACCTTTTAGGTCTCGTAAGTACTTTAAACATATTTCCTCTTTTGAGATATGTTCACTATTTATAAGGCTATTATCTGGAAGACGTGTGCTCCGGTTGGGACCACTCACTTCACATGGGACATCTGTGGCAACCTGGGTGGAAAGGGTCCTCTAAAATAGGGTCCTTTGAGGAATGGCTGAGAGAGCTGTGGAGAGATATCCCAGATTGCAGTGGGTCAGGGAGCAGGCGCTGTCTCTGACAGTCTGGGGGCAGAGGAACCAGGCCCCAAGGACAGAGGAAGCTCCAAGGGGAAACATCTGTGCTTGGCAGAAGATGGACTTCATGGGATCCCTGGGTGGCGCAGCGGTTTGGCGCCTGCCTTTGGCCCAGGGCGCGATCCTGGAGACCCGGGATCGAATCCCATATCGGGCTCCCGGTGCATGGAGCCTGCTTCTCCCTCTGCCTGTGTCTCTGCCTCTCTCTGTCTGTGACTATCATAAAATAAAAAAAAAAAAAAAAAAAAAAGAAGATGGACTTCAAATAATTAGAGTTGTCTCCAGGTGAATGTACTGCCTCGAGAGGTGGCAAGTTCTCTATTATTGCACAGGTTTGTAAAGAACACCTGGATGAGTACACTTTTCAAAGAAGTTAGAGTTTCCTGCCCCGGGTGGGAAATTTTTTTTTTTTTTTAAATTTTTTTTTAATTTATTTATGATAGTCACACACACAGAGAGAGAGGCAGAGACATAGGCAGAGGGAGAAGCAGGCTCCATGCAGGGAGCCCGACGTGGGATTCGATCCCGGGTCTCCAGGATCGCGCCCTGGGCCAAAGGCAGGCGCCAAACCGCTGCGCCACCCAGGGATCCCTCCGGGTGGGAAATTAAAGAGCTCCTAGCCTTCTCGGATTTCAGGCAGTTCTAAGTTCAAATCTCAGTTCTGTCATATGTAAACTGAAAAATCCTTCATCTCTTGACTTTCATTTTTCCTCATTTGGAAAGGTTCCTATCTCACCAGGTGTCCCTAAAGATTAAATGAGGTGGTGTATATACAGTGCCTCAGAACCAGGTCTGCTCTGCGGCGAGGCTGCTGCCTTTGGCTCACGTCCTGCTAAAACACAGAGCTACTAATAGAGGGTGTTTGGAAAGTGGACCAGACATGTGATGCACCAGCTGCTTCTCCACAGGGAGTCTTCACTTCCTGAGACACACTTTTAAAGACAGTAATTCTCCTTGAGTGCTATCCAAGGAAACAGTTGTTCACCTGGAGATTTTTATGCTTTTAAGGGCCAACTTTCATGAAAAAGGCCAAATGGAGTCAAGAGCAAAACAAGCTCGCCAGCCTGCAATGGGGGGCTCTGGGGAGCACTCCAGGGGGGTTGTTTTAGGGTTTGGAGTACATCGATTACCTACATGTCCTGGGGACCCTCAGTTCCCCTCCTCCATTTTGCAACTGTCTGTGATGTTTATAAACCATGTTTTGTCCAAGCCTAGAAAGAGTCAGCCCTGCAGGCTAAACCTTTCAACTGCCCCTGAGGTCACAGAATGGGAGCACAATAACATGTGATGTGACCTCAGAGGTCACCCCATCCAACCTCATCGTCTGAGCCACTAAAGCATTCCACATATCACAAGGGCCCAAGGCAACAGGAGGGACCACAGGGGTGTGCTAGGAAGGAGGTGTTAGAAGAGGGATGAGGTCTTGGCTAGGTGCTGGGGGGGGGGGTGTCTCCAAGGGCTAGCACAGGGCCCAGAAGATAGTGGAGGGTCAATGAGTGTCTTTTCAAATGATCTGACTAGAGGGGGTTATGAGAGAGCTGGGCTAGATTTAGACAGCTGTGCCACAGGACAAACCCAGACTTGGAGCCAGACAGGCCTGAGGTTTCACCGCAGCTCTGCCACTTGTTCTCACCAGGGCATTCCCAAGTAGTAACTTAACTGTTTTCAAGTTCTCATCTGTAAAATGGGCAGAAGACATGCCAGGGTTGTGAAGGTGCAAATACACCTAACTCTGGGTTTGTCCTAGGTGATGCTCTTTAAATCTCCGTCTACCCAGACATTGCTAGAAGATCTTGGATGATTCACTTCCAGACTCCAAGCTTCACTTTCCCACTGTGACACTGGGAAAGAAAGTCCATCCAATTGAGCATCTACAGTATGTACTAGTTACTTTCACATGCATTATTTCACCTAATCCTCACAACAATTCCATGAGACAGGTAGTACTATCGGCATTTTGAAGATGAAAAAAGAGCCTTGGAGAGAATTTGCCTGAATTCACATAGCAATTAAGTGACAGAGCCAAGGTTTGGACTGACTAGTCCAAAGGTCCACACTATCTCTGTACCTCAAAGGGAGGTCAAGGCAACCATATTTCAGCACTCAGCTCGGGGCTAAGCACACAGTGGGGCTTCAGCAAATACTCCATTGTCATACTCTAGGTACATACCATATCTCTCTGAATGGATGATGAGCTCCTCGGGGCAGGCAATAATTAATTAATCGTTGTGTCCCTGTTGCCTAGCATAGCACCCCAAACAAAGCAAAGGCTATAAGGAATGAATGACTTTATAGTTGAATAGAGAATAACGTAATTCCTCAGGTTACAGAGAGCAGCCAAATATGCAGGATGGGAACATCTGGCCCCCTGAAAATAGTTCTAGAATTACAGATTGAACAGGCTAGGAAAAGCAATTATCTGTAATTGTCCATGGCACATGTCAAGTTGATTTCATCTATCTCATTTGGTCCTAGTCCGAAATCAGGGCAATTGTTTATCATACTCTTCATCTAATAGTTGCAAAGAGAGGTTTCCGTGGCAGACTGTCCTTTCCTACCAGAGGATATGCAGCCCCTGGTCGCATACCTCCAGGAACAGGAAAATCGCTGTCCCCTGAGATGGCCCGCTCCATTTTTCCTGATGCCTATCTCCCAGAGTGGGCTCAGGCTCAGGTCCTGTTTTCTGGTTGAAGCCTTTGGAGATGGAGAGAGGTGGAGAGAGATGGAGACCCATTGCCCTCTCAGCACTGCACTTAGGTCCCACGAATGTCAGCGCTGGTCTATCCAGCCCCTTCCCTGAACGGGTGGGGAAACTGAGATCCTCTGAGTGGGGATTCACCCAAATCACACTCCTTTTAATCTATGGTGAGCTGGCTTCTGCTGCGGCATGACGCCACTGACCTGCAGGGGCTCTGATCCCTTGGTCTTCTGCTTTAGCTCGGGAGTGGAGTCCATCCCCAGTGTCCCCCCCCTCCCCTCCCCCGCCAGCCCCAGCTCAGTGCTCCGTAAGGGGTAGCTGGAAGAATGACTGACTGCGCAGGAGGAGGAAGGAAGCGTTGAGTCTTGGCCAGGCCGGGAGAGGCATCGGGCGGGGCCGACCCGGGGCTGAGGTCTGGGTGTAGGGCCCGACCGCGTGGGGAGCCCGAGCGGGGGAGGGGCGCGGGGTGGGGGGGCCAGGGATGAGGTCAGGACGGGGCCCCGGTGAGCGCTCGGGGTGGGGTAGAGTTTGGGTCTCCTGCGCCTGTGGGAGCAGAGTGCGGGGCCGCCGCGAGGGCGGGGGGGGGGGGCAGCGGCCGGTACCTGAGCCGCCACACGTAGCTGTGCTCGTAGGGGAAGAAGCTGTGCGGGTCGTCGCAGCAGTACTTGTGGTCGCGGAAGCCGCAGCAGAAGACGGCGGCCGCCTCGCCCCCCGGCCGCGGGCAGCGGAAGCCGCGCACCAGCTCCCGCGCGGCGCTCACGTAGCTCGTGCAGGCGCCGCTCATCGCGCCCGCGCCCGCCGCCCGCGCCCGCCGCCGCCGCCTCGGGCCGCCGCTCGGGCCGTCCCGGACCGGGGCGCCGCGCGCAGGGAGGCAGCGACGCAGGGACGCGGGCGTGAGGGACCCGGCGCCCCCAGGACCCCGAGAGGCGGCCACGTGCGCGGGCGCGGCGGGGGCGGGGCCGGGGCCGGGGCGGCTGGAGCTGCTGCGCGAGCCCAGCGAGTGGGCGTGGGAGCCGGTCCGTGGGTGCCCGCCCGTGGGAGCCCGCCCGCCCGTGGGTGCCCGCCCGTGGGAGCCCGCCCGCCCCGGGGGGACCCCCGGTGGGTGCCCGCCCGCGCGGAGCTGCGGGGATTCTCACTGACTTTGGGAATGAGCCCCAGGGCCGGAGAGGGCGCCTCCCCTTGTCCCCGCGGCGGGGGCGTTGACCCGCGTCTGCCTAGTCCCCAAGCTCGTGTTGTTTCTGGGGTTCTCACTAGGCCTCTTTTTCCAGTGGACTTTTTTTTTTAACCTTAAAAAATATTTATTTGTTTGTTTGTTTGTTTATTTATTTATTATTTGAGAGAGGGCGCGGAGAGCGAGCGCACGGGCACCGGGCACCGGAGGGAGAGGGGAGGAGAGACGCGGACTCCCCGCCGAGGGGCCCATCCCAGGACCCTGGGATCAGGACCCCAGACGAAGGCAGACGCCTAACGGGCTGAGCCACCCAGGAGCCCCAAGACTGTATCTTTAAGTCACCTCGAACCCACAACCCTGAGTTCGAGTCTCCCCCTCCACCAACTGAGCCAGCCAGGTGTCCCCCCATTGGAGGTTTAAATATCCTCAGCCTCTGGCTTCCTTACCTGCCTCTTCCTCCCCTGAGCTGCTAACTCATGGATCGACCTGTTCACACTCCTTTGTTCAGACTCGCCGCCGCAGTGGTCTAGAACAGGGGGCTACAGCGTCCCAAATGGTAACCCTAACCCCCTAGGAAGCAAAGCCAGCACACCTCTCCACTCTCAGAAATTATTTCCAGAGCACTGTTCTCACTAGGATCCAGGCATACAGTCTGAAGGAGCCTATGTGGCCCTTAGAAATTGCCTGTCTGTCCTCTAAGGGTACACTGGGGAAACTGAGGCTCTGAGAGGTACACAGCCTGGCCCAATCACACTGATCCAGGACTAGGGATTCCTGAGCTTTAGTTGTCCCATTTTATATGAGCTTTAGTTATCCTATTCAGCTAGCCACGGGGTGTGGGGGCTGAACAAGACCTATGGGACATGTGACCAGTTAATGAGTCACTGGCTAGCTTTAGAAAATAATAATTAGGAATGCCCAGGTGGCCCAGTCTGTTAAGCATGAGATTCTTGGTTTCAGCTCCGGTCTTGACCTCAGGATCATGAGTTCAAGCCCCATTTTGGGGCTGAACTTAAATAAAATAAAAATAAACTAATAATTAAATGGAATAGAAAAAGTGCATTGCAGAGAGTAAAGCTAAGTATTCTTTCATAAAATGTTTCAGTTACATATCTATGTGTGTATTATGGATCCGATCACAATATAAAATGCATTTATTAGTTTGAGTCAGGTCAAAAAGGTTTGAAAGCCCCTGAATCTCATTAGACAGATGGGCAGGGGCCAGCTGGAGATGACAAGATCTTTAGCTCTTGTAATTTTTCACAGGAGAGGGTAGAGTAGAGAATAGTTACTGTGATGCCTGGAGACTCCCCAGTTTCTCCATCCTTTGCTCTGGGTGTGTGGGGGATAAACATGGGCATCAAGGCAATCTGGGCTCAAGCCCTAGCTCTCCTCCTTCCCTGATTTTTCTCTGTGTTTCAGGTTGCCTTTCTTCATCTAGGCCAGCTTCTAAGACGCTAATGTGTGCCATGCTTTTGAGCTGAGCATTGGAGTCCCTGACAGGAGTCAGATCTGAGTGTGCCCCTGAGAAACACACAGTATCATGGGAGAGTCACACAGATGATCAAAGGACAGAGCAGTGAAAGGGAAAATGCGGGGACCGTGGCTGCAGAGCGACCACTGTCTGAAGGAGAGAAGATGAATTTTGAGAGGGTAGTGTCCTCAAGGGTCACTATACTGTCAAATATGAAAACTGGAGGGAATTGTTACTGTCCCCCAGAAAACCTTCCTACTGAGCTGTGTATCTCTGCAAACTGGTGTACTTTGGCCTCTTTATTTATCAGATGGAAAGTAAAGGGGGTGGAGTGGAAATCCTGTGGAAAGGAGAGAGGTCTCCTGGAGACAGAGCTTAGCTGGGACGTAGCAGGCATTCTGCTCTGGCTTTTGGGAAAATTGTGAAGCTGCCAACAGTTTCCAGAGCCCTTTCCCAGCCAAGAATTAATTTGTTCCTCCCAACAACCCTGTGAGGTGAGCCAAGCATGGGTGATTGTGCCTCTGAGAAATAACAAACCCAGTGTCACACAGCAGTCAATGGCCCATGCAGGACTGGCACCCAGGTCTCGTTTAGCCAAGGGTTCCTTTGGTGGTCTGATGAAGACTGATGGGCCCCTATTCAGAAGAGTATTTTTAACTATGAAAAGTAAATCACTTAGGATAACAAGAATACCAGTTATATAGAATCATTATCAAAATATTTTGTAAAGATTGTATTTGTTTATTTGAGAGATAGAGAGAGAACACAAACTGGGTGGAGAGGGCGAGAGAAGACTCCTCGCTGAGCACACAGTCCGATGTGGGCTTGATCCCAGGACCCTGAAATCATGACCTGAGCTGAAGTCAGATGTTTAACCGACTGAGCCACCCAGGTGCCCCTCAAAGTACTTTTTAAAAAATATTTATTTTGTGAATGTCTTTTTCTAGTTATTGGAATTTTGAGGTGATGAACGAGTGTAAAAAGTATTTCAAGTATATTGCAATTATAATGCAATACAAACTATCATTTCTATTGGTGACAAAGTCACAGATACTGCTAAATAGTACTGTGATTTTTTTTGCTTCCCTCCATGACAGAAAGAAATGCTGAATTCCAATTAGAGGTTAGTGAAAACAGGATGTAATTTTTTTCCCACTCTAAGTTCATGGACCACCCCTGCCAAACTCTTACCATGGAGCCTTTGGGCTCTGTGGAGCCTGTGCTAAAATTCTCTAGGTCTTCTGGCCTAACTCCTACTCTAATGCTGGTTCTTCCCGCAGACACTTACTGTAGAGCTACTAAGTGATTGGAAGTTTCCCATCTCGTATGTCACATAGTCCAGAAAACTTCTTATGAGATAGGTGTTATTCTTTCCACCTTGCAAAGTAACTGAGACTCAGGGAGGTTAAGTGATTTACTGAAAGCCACACAGCCAGTAACTGATCAGAGTCCTGTCCCACCAACTCCTTTGTCCCCAGCTGAGGTGTGGGGACCAGAATGTCCAATACCACAAGGGAAAGAAAGTAGAGGAGGGAGGGGTGAACAAGGAACGCTCACATTTATGGAGAACACACTGTAATCTTGAGATTGTGTTCTGTGCTTTTCATCCACTCCTTTAAAACTTACAACAACCCTGTGCAGTATTACTGTCCCTGGTGTTTTTTTGTTTGTTTTTTAGATTTATTTATTTATTTATTTATTTATTTATTTATTTATTTGAGAGGGAGAGAGCATGAGCATGGGGAGGGGGAGGGGTAGAAGGAAAGGGAGAGAATCCTCAAGCGGACTCTCCACTGAGCTCAGAGCCTGAGGAAGGGCTGAACCCAGGACCCTGAGATCATGACCTGAGCAGAAATCAAGAGTCCAAAGCTCAACCGGCTGAGCCAGCCACGCGCCCCTCCCCATTTAATATTTTTTTACATAACAACATATGTATCATCATAAAACAAATTCGAAATTACAATAAGTTAAAAGAAAAAACAAAAATCACCGATAATCTCACCACACAAAAACAAATACTTCGGTATGGTGTCTTCTAGATACACAGACACACGCCCACACCACTATAGCAATAGGAAAACTGGGCCAAGAAGGGAGGGTAGCTTGCCCAACCCGGTAGGAGGAGCAAGCCCCGGTCACCTGCGGGGGGGGGGGGCCCCAGGTGGGTCGCTTCCCCCTTCGGCACTGCGCAGGGCAGCAGTTACAGTTACCCGAGACGGAGGAGTGCCCAGCCTGGCCAGGGAGCCACCGCAGGAAGCCCCTTCCGAGGGGTTGTCACAGCAGGGCCCCTAGACCTCGGCAGCCCAGCCCCCTTGGAGACGGTCCGGTCCGGAGGGCGAGGCCCCGCTGGGGTGCACAGTGGAGCCGGGTGGCCGGTCCCCGCGGCCTCCTGCTGGGCGCTCGCTTCCCGTTGCTGCCTGTCCCGACTGCTCCGCCTGGGTCCGCCCCCCCCCCCAGCCCTAAGGTCGGGGTGCGCCCCGCGGCTCTCAGTGCGGGTCGCCTCGGGGTCTCTCCCCTGATGCCCAGGACGGACCCTTTCCCTTCCTGTCCATACTAAGGCCCCTGCGTCTCGTCCTGGGAGAAGGGACTTTACCAGATGGAACATTCCACCCAGGGACTAATGGGGACCCAGGCTTTGATCTGATACCAGTCAAACTCTCTCCCGAATCTAGGTGACCACCCTTTAGGTTTAGGGTGTTTGTTAAGACACATAAAGCGATGTAAAGGATAATATAGCGACACCCACGTACCCTCCACTCAGTACACGGCAGCCGCTCAAACGCGGAGCCACCCAGACGCTCCAACATGAGATAAAAAATTAAAAAGAAATCATTATACGGCATGTATTCTGGAACCTATTTTTTTCACTTAATCTTGTGTTTGTGAGCTTTGTCTGTACCGATGTGTATGCTCAATCTGGTTCATCCATTTTTGCTGCTGTGTAGTTTTCCACTTAGTAAATGTATGATGATTTATCCATTTTCTTAATATTTAGATTCCTTTCATGTTTTTTTTTTTTTCATTGCTATACAATGATGCTTTTCTTGAGGTTTTTTCTTCTTCTCAAATGAATTTTAGGGACGCCTGGGTGGTTCAGTGATTGAGCGTCTCCCTTTGGCTCAGGTGGTGATCCTGGAGTCCCTGGATCGAGTCCCACATCCCGCTCCCTGCATGGAGCCTGCTTCTCCCTCTGCCTGTGTCTCTGCCTCATTCTCTGTGTCTCTCAGGAATGAATAAATAAATAAAATCTTTTAAAAATGTAGAATGTGGGATCCCTGGGTGGCGCAGCGGTTTGGCGCTTGCCTTTGGCCCAGGGCGCTA